CGAATGATTTAGGTATAAGTGAACAAAGAAAAGCTAATTTGTGTGGAGGAATGTCTCTTATGTTGCTGCTATCAGCATTTCGAAGCGTTTGAGGGTTATTTTCAGGCATTGTGAATAGTAAAAGTTTAGTAGACGCGAAAATACAAATAAATGTTTAAGAAAAGTAAAAAAAAGATTTAAACCTGCTATATAAAATGGGGAAACAGAAATAAGGAAAAAGAAAGGAATAAACGACTTACGTTTGATATTGTCTGTCTTGTGCGTTCTTCGTTGTGGTTGAGGGTTTTTTGTGTTGCTTGATGATTCTTTGTTGATCCAAGGAGTTGAAACTCGCCAAGTTGAAGAAATATAGATGAGTTGCCCTTTTGATTCTTGATTTATTTGATTTTTGATTCTTCTTCTTGTGACCAAATCCAATACGACTGCGCCAAATTTTATGTTGGGATACGAAGAACTAACACTTTGACTCGTAAGATCGTTTATTGTGAATAAGTTTTACATAATAATTAAATGAATAATTAAATATTCGAGAAGTTAAATCTTAAGTTAAGTGAGTGAGAAGTAAGTAGTAAGTGTTCTTTTGGTTTCTAAAAATGAGCTTTTATACAGCGCGATAATTTTTATCAGTTAATGGAAAAATAGAAGCGCTGTCTTTGAAATTATGAAATATCTAATGATGCGTAATAATTACTTGAACTATTTGAACTTTTTATTAATTTAATTTATGGACTTATTTTTTGTAACCCTAAAGATCACGACTAAAAGATTATTTAATATACATTAGAAAAACAAACTGTTACCAAATAAATATACAGGGTCTAACAATTAGGATATTTTTTTTTAAATTAAAATAATGTTAAGTTGTTCATTGCTACTTTAAAAACCTAGGTCGGATAGAAAAAATCAAGGAATTAGCTCAAAATCCTAGGCCCTACAAATTAAACTTTAAAGTAACAAAATAATTAATTTAATTGTTACAAAAAATCAATTTTGTAATTTATCCTTAAATTGTAAATTTTGACGAAATTGCTCATTCTAAGTAAAAAAAATTGATGGTAAATTTTGTTAGTAAATTTAATTGTCTACAAAAAAGTTCCTCAATTATCGCAGTTTCAGAGATAATTGCGATTTTATCTTAAAATTGTAATTTTTTTAACAAAACTTAACATAACAGAACCGTCATAACTTTTTATATATTTTTTTTATTTAAACAAAAAAACAGGTCGCATCAACCATTATAGGTTAATTTTAAATATACTAATTTGACTATTTCATTATAATATTTATCAGTGACAACGTTTTCGCCATGACAATGATGACTTATAATTAGTGATTTTTCAACAAATTATATTAAAAATAGGTACTGGTTTTACTATTAAAATAAGTTTTGTTAAAATTTAAAGATAACATTGCAATTAAAGGTACAGTTTCGTTGATGCGACTCGCGGCTGCGACTCGCGGCTGCGATCGTAGCCGCTCCACTGCTTAGTACAATTTGTTTGTATATGTTTTGGTTGACGCGTTCAGTTGCAGACTGCGACTGAACGCGCCAACCAAAACGTATACACACAAATTGTACTAAGCAGTGGCGCGGCTAAGGTCGCAGCCGCAAGCCGCAGCCGCGAGTCGCATCAACGAATCCGTACCTTAACTCTGAAACTTGTAATGGTACGATATACGGGGCAGTTAATTTTTAACATTTCTTAATTTATTATTTTTAAGCTTTACGAAATATGAGACTAATTTTAAATATTTGTTTTTAAAATTGTATTAGGTGTTAGGTATAAGTTTCACTTCCATACATTCTTTATTTGTTTATTATACAATATTAATTTATGACTCCCATCTGGACGACCACTTAAGGGTTCGTTACAGAAAGACGAAATAAGCAAGTTTTGGTTCATGTTGCTGGTCTTTAAAAAATAAACATAAAAAGAGCGTGTTAGAAACTGAGAGAGGTAGTATATTTTAGGTAGTTGGGTTTTGCTCTTTGCAGGGATTAGTTTAATTCTTTAATTTTGTAATAGTTGAGTTTTGTTATTTGAAGTAGACAGTTTTGGTTTTGCTATTTGAGCAGGCAGTATATTTTAGACAGTTGAAGGGATTAGTTTAATTCTTTCATTTTATCAGGGAGTGAATTTAATAATACATTGATTTTATATAACTTCAGTTTTGGTGAAAGTGTTGTTCATTTAAATAGGTATGCCTTTTCTATATTTAGTTATTATAATCTGAGGTCACAAATATCATAATGAGTGGTTAATTCTTTAATATTTAATTTAAACTATATTTTATTATTATTAATTCAACTTGTTTGTTTGTGAGATAAATAATAAGTTGAATTATTTTATCTTAATGTTGGTGGTTGGACAACCAAATCATAACCATTATTTTATGTTTATAATTATTATATTTATATTACATTTACTTTAACAAATTATATTGTAATGTTACATTTTACTACATATTTATATTTAACATTTACATACTTGATTTTGTACAGTTTATCTTATTTTATTTATTTGATAAATTGATATTCATTATTTAATATGGTGAGACTTGTTTCAAGTTCGGCATATCAAATGAGTTATTTAGTTAGGGAACTTTGTTACCGGTTGCTGGTAATAGGATGGTGGATACAGCTCTGCTTTGACAGGCGCACCCAATGGCCAATAATGCCAGTTAACCAATTTAGACAAAGAATGGTTAGATAGGGATATTGATATGAAGTTGTTGTTTTATGGTCTTATTTTATTATTATTGATAATCATTTTATTTTGCTATATTTGATTTGCACTGACATGTTTTTATTACTTGATTATACCTGATTGTAGGTATTTGTTATTTATGGCTGTACAATTAAATTGCATTACCGTTGTCCACTACTACACCACTTGTTATTTATATATTTTATTTATACAAATACCATTTATTATTGTTGCTTGTGACCTAAGTTATATTATACTTTATGTTTCACATTATTGTTGTTTGTTGCTGTACATTGATAATTATTTCAATGTGTATTTGCTTTTCTACACCGTCCGAGCCTACCATTTATGTAGGTGAATAATCTTAGCAATATGATAATATAATTTATTATATTCATATTGATTACTTTGATTTTGTTGTATTATTTATATTGTTGAGATGTGCGACATACATATGCATGTCTGTATTGTATATGTGGGTTTTTAAGGTTTTACCTTATTAACTTAAATCAATCATACTTTTCAAATACAAATGTTTTTATTTATATTATTAATGTACAGTAACAATAATTAACTCTTGTATTAATTGCCTTTATTAATAAACTTATTTTAATTTAATACTTTTTCTTTGCTTTTAAATATCTTTTCAATTGCTCAAGTACTTACGTATCCAGAACCGTATTCACAACAAAAAGGGGTCCTAACTTAATTTCTTTAAACTAGACGATCACGTGTTTTGGCCAAAGGTAGTTTTTTTTGTGGTTTTAATATTCTTTTTAATTATTAATGTGTGCCCCCCATGTCCCGTTCGTTACAAACTTTAACTTACATAAGAGAAAAAAATGCCCTGGAAGTTTCAGCCCTTCATCTTACTCCTAAGTATTTTTATTTTGATATTAAAGTTTTCCCATTGAAATATTTATTATTTCCTATTTTAAAATAATCTTTAGTTGTGACGGTATTTTACGCTGCTACAATTTACATAGGTTCGATTTGGTCATAATTAGATGCTCTTCAAAAGTACTTGCAACAATTTTTATACAACCTATATTTTCGAACTGTCACCAAAGTCATATTTTTAATAAAAAAAACAGTATTTATTACCTTTTACGGAAAAACGGTAAAGTTGCAGGTAAAAAGTAAAAAAGTTTAGTTTTCTATAAAACAGATAAATTGTACATATGTAATAATACAATAAAATGCATATTTTAAAAGAAATACAGCATTTAATAAATTTACATAGCTGTCAAATTTTGATAAAACTTTATCAATAGTTGTAGGAAATTAGTTCTATAAAATTTTTTTTTACTCCCTCCTATAAAACGCCCATTATCGTATATGTTTCCATGTCACTAAGTGACCTTTTAAATACACATTGACAAGTTGTGACTTCATGCCGCTTTAGTTTAGTTTAGCAACATGTTTTTAGTCACGGGCTGAAGTTTTTCTTTAAGCTTTAAGTTAGTTGACAGTTGTCAAATGTCATACAATCGTTAAAATAAAGTGCCTTCCTTCTAAAATAATACTAAATGTGAAAATTATTTTATTATCTCAATACAAAAATACAAAAGTATTAAGTAAATAGTTTTTTGCCAATATTTGAAAAGATTTTATGAACGTTTGTATTGACCTTTTGATTTCGCCGTAGTAGTGCAATTAACTAGATTTAACTGATAAAGCGTTAAAAATTTTGCGAACAGTGCACATTAAACATTCTCTTCTCTACCGATTTTTAGTCTATTTTCCAAGAATAAACTTTGATTTTCACAGAAAAATTTGAGATGTTAACCCCGGTAGATTCCCAAGTAAATTCTAACGGGAATTTCACTATTTGTACCTTTAACATTTCCCGTGTAAGACTTTTTAATACTTCGTAAATATTTTGCAATTATAGTAATTAAAAAAAAAGTATAAGTTTAATTAAAATAATAATAAGGGGAATATTAATAGTGAAAATTAAGTAAAAAATGTCGCTTTATACAAATATTTAATTTAAATCGTAAAACAACATAGGACTAATTAGTTTATGAATATTTGACACTTAATTAAATTAATTAATTAAATTAATTAAATTAATTTAAATTTATTAAATGCTGTATTTTTTTTAAATTATACCTTTTATTACATTATTGAAAGGCACATAGTTTATAGAAAATTTAATTTTCTAAAAAAATCTTATTAACTTTTTATTTGTTACTTTAACCGTTTTGCCGTTAAATGCCAAAATACTACCCAACCCAATTAGTAAATAATAATTAATAATTAATTATTACAATTATATATCTAACTCAGAAGAGAAGATAAATGGTCGCATGGGCCACATGGAAGAAATCTTCATTCGCCAGGTGCATCTTCAGTGAAAAGCTTTGATTTGCAAGTCGGAAATTGGAGGATAGAAAGTCTTGGAAGAGACTCCGAGTCGGGATCAGATGAAGAGTTTTTCGACTGCGAAGGTACTAATTGCAAAACAACTATTTCGTTTATAATTTTCACTTCCTAGATATGACTGGAACCTCTTCCCTCGCAAAATGGAGTTCTCTGGATCTTCTCCAAGAAGAAGACGACTCCACCTCTCCTACAGTAGTTATAGAAAGAAACGGTGAGAAAATCATTTTTTTGAGGTTTTATATGTTGTTTCTTTCTTTCTTTTAGATGATAGCATATTTTCACCGACATTCCTTCAAAGGGTGGCCAGCGAACGCGGTAACCGGAAGACCCTGCAAAGGGGCAAAGTGAACTCCTTGGACACTTCCGGTCCGGAATCTCCCGGGGCTTCACCCGCCCATCTTCCTTGCAACACCACAGTATTATTGTTAGTTCTACATGCCGGAAGTGTATTAGGTAAGATGCATTTTATTTAGAGATGTAACGTGAAAAATCATCCTTTTTTAATATTTTATGTTTTTTTTTAACTTTCTTTTATTCATTTTAAACAGGCATAGTTTTTCGCATAAATTACGTATTAAACGACAAAACACCTCAAAAAATTAATGAGCCAAACTGCACAAGAAAATCATAGTGACACATGGTGGGCAAAATGGCTGTAAACTAGTGTTATTTATAGAAAAAGTAAAATGAGAAAATTCATGAAATATAAGTTGCACAAATTTTCAAAAAACTAATTTTACCACTTGACAAGTCACTCGTTAAATAGTAAAGCACCTAGGAAGCATTCATTAGGAAATCTTTTGTAATTTTCTAGTGCCACCTTTTAATGAATTTGGCTTATCAAATTCTGACAATGAGTACTTCAATTAATTACCAGGATTGGTAATTAAATCTGAAGTTTCAAAAATCCTCCTCTTCCTAATCGTTTTGATGTAGAGGGTCTTTTTTGTATTAAATTTTAATGACAGCCCTAACTAAACTTTATTTAAAATTAAGCTTTATTGAATCTCATAAATTTATTAAAACTTTATTAATTCAGTAAAAGTACTTTATTTATTAAAACATAGTTACAATAATTTATACAATTTATTATTTTTAAATCACAATATAAAACAGCTATTTTGTGTGTGTTTTTTGTTAATTTTTCTAGCGCTTTTATCTGATAATGGATAACATTATTTTATAGTCGTTTAATATCTAGATATTAGGGCTTATCTTCAATTACTTCCAAATACTGTCCAAACTTTCTCATTACATTGTTGTGATGATTTACTGAATGTTCTAGTTTGTACATTTCTAATATTTGGAATTTTTTATTGTCGTATTTTGGCGTCGCGGTTGAGTTAAGCTGAACATCTTCCGATATACACATTTTTTTTTCTTCACTCGTATTAACATTTTCTTCCTCTTTTGTTAGCTAATATTATAAAATAATAAAAAAGTGTAAAGGTTGCTATTAAAAAAAACAAAAGCGTTAAATTACCTGCAGGGATATACCATGGTATATTATACAAAACACTAAATATCTTTTAAACCACATGATAAATGATTAAGTTATAAGAAACTACCAATAAGTGTTTTAAAAAACGATCAGTTGTATACTGTTTTATAATCTGTGACTTGCAAAGGCTTGCAGATAAACTTGTATTGTTATATGTTGCCAAATGTATGTAAAAGTTTAAAAAATGCATAAAAGAGTATTTGTAGCAAAAAATTTTAAAGTAAACGGTTTAAAAAAATCAAAATTGCAAATTAACCATAGACAATAAAAATTATGTGTCGCATATTCTTAGGGTTTGAAATCAAGCAGAAACTTTTATGACGAATGAAATTTTCTGAGAAATGTAAAATATTTTTGTTTCCTCTTTGTAAACCCATTCGCGGACACACTGTATAGTTGTTCCAGCCATTTAAATAAATTGCAGAAAAACAATAACGTTTGGCAACCTTGCTTGAAGGTTTCATATTACTAAAATAGGTGATTCCCTGGTTAAGAATAACAGACTAAGCAGTTTTAAATATAACATTTATTATTCATCATAAAACAACTGTGTTATTCATATTGGATATGAATAATAAAAGTTAAATGATTATTAAAAACACGTGTATTTTAAAATCCTTATTTATTGTGCGATTTTAACCGGATTTATTTTAAAGTGTAGATCTTGATAAACTGTATTTTTGAAGCAAAAAACGCCATATTTTTACAAAGTAAGAGGCCTATATCATAGTAGGCCTAGTAGTAATATGCCAGTTTTTAAGAGTAAATTTTTAAGAGTTCATATTAGCGATTTTTTTAAACAAAATCTAAGCACGGCACTGGATTCACCACCCTTCAGAACGACCCTATACTAAATTTTATTAAAAAATTTTAAGAAAAAAAATGCACAATTATAAAGTTCTACAAACATTTATTTGGTCAAGTTATCCATGAAAAAAATGGAGAATTAAAACTTCAATTCTCTGTTTTTTTCATTGAATATCAAATAATCACATAATAATAAATATATTTATGATATATTGGTGGTATTTTCAAATAAAAATTGTCGGTCGTCGAGTCTGAAAAAATATCTAATAATAATCTTATAATATAATTTTTTGGGGAAGAGGAACATCAGCAAATAGAGTATTTATTATGCAAAAGCTCGCAATCCGAATAATGTTTAATTACTAACATTGTATGGAATTTATATATATATAGTATTATGAAGTTTGTTTTTAATAACTTAGGAAAATTCCCAAATAGTAATTTTTACTCATATTCCACAAGATTAATTATGTGTACCAAGACACACAACTTCGTTGTTTAAAAAGTCACCCTATTTTTCTGGTATCAAAATTTTTAACAATTTGCCCAATTATATTAAGGAAACAAAAAATTATAATGTTTTTAAAAGAAAACTGAAAGACTTTATAATTGAGGAATGTCCTTATGAACTGAATAAGTTTTTATAATAAATTTGTAGGTATTTCCGAGTATATTTAATTGTATTTCTGTGACTTGTCCTATACATATGAATGTTATCTATGTCATTTGGATTAATAAAATTATTATTATTATTTATTTTCGAAAAAAAAATGAATCCCATTTTTTGCTTTAGACGCCAACGTGGACATGACGGCGAAAAAATCGGACGTCACGACGTTCCGCGGCGCGTTCGAGTCGGTGATGCGGCAGCACTACCCGTCACTGGTGGGGCACATCGCCTTGCGGCTCGTGTCCTGCCCCTCTATATGCACCGAGGGCCTGGGCATCCTCTCCAGGTGAAACAACCGAACCTTCGGACTCTCGGAGCGTTTTAAAGATTTCCTTGTTTCAGCCTCAGCCCGTACAGCTTCGACGTGTCGCCGTCGTGCATCGACGTGCCTCAGGTCACGCACGACTCGATTCCGATTGGCGCGATGCCGGTGCTGGCCACCTCCACCCAAGACTATCAAGAAGCCGTGTCGCGGACAATCAACTGTGCCAACAACGCTTATCAAGGTAACAAAGATTATTTCACGGTGCTGTTCTGAGAGGTGATTTTTGGACTTTCTGTGGAACCTATTTTTTTTATATTCTTGTTAATTAGGTCATAACTAAGAATTTAAGAGCAAAATAAAAAAAATTTGACGGTTTGAATTGTTTTAATTGGCTGTTTATTAAAAATATTATGCACTCTTTCAATTATCCAATTAAAACTAGCGCTTTAATTTAAATATTTAATATTTGCACAACTAAAAAAAAGGTTCTTACAATTTTTTTTATAAATTTTACTGTTTTGTTGCAATAAACGTTCAAATTTTTAATCTAACCTTTGACGTATACATTTATGTTCCCTTAATTAATATATCCTTAAAGGTTGCCATGAAACTTAGATCTATTAAAAATTTATTTGATGTTTGAATTGTCATTTTCAGTATACGTATTCTATAATTTTTGTTTAGTTTTTTAAAGTGTTTTTTATAAACAAAAATGAAAAATTGTAGTAAAAGTTACGAAGAAATTCATGAAATTTAACTAAGGACCGGTTTATTCATCTTTAGTAAAGTTTATCGGGCCGATAACTTTCATGTCTTGGCAATATCTAGTATCCAAAGAAATTATTCGTCAAATAAATCAAAAATGAATAAATCGGCCCTAAATAAAATGTGGCACCCTTAGAATTATTGTTTAATAAATGTATACTATACATTTAACCTTAAACTAAACTTTAAACGTGTATTACAACAAAACAGTAAAAGATATAAAAAATGTATAGACCTTTTTTTAGGAAATTAACTAATCTTTAATCTGATTTAAAAAGTTATGATAATATTTAAATAAAATCGCAAGTTTTAATTGGAGAATTGAAAGTGTGCATACATATTTTTAATAAACATCCAATTAAAACAAAATTAACCGTCAAATTTTTTTTATTTTGCTCTTAAAATTTTAGTTATGACCTAATTAACAAGAATATAAAAAAAATTAGGTTTCACAGAAAGTCCAAAAATCACCTCTCAGAACAGCACCATCTAGGGTGATTCAAAAAATGAATATAAAGCTAAGCCCAATAAACATTTTGATAGGGAATCAAATGCTGTATAAAAAAGGTATCAGTTGTTTTTTTCGTAAACCAAGCCATTCAAAAGATATCCTGGGACATTTTATAGATTTTGAAAAAAATATATTTTTTTTTTCAAAATGTTATCACTCCCAGAATAGTTAAGATTTTGAAATAAGTAGTATACATTTTTGCTGGAAAATAACTAATCTACAAAAAGGGTTTCTTTAGTTTTTTTAATAAATGTAAGCGTTTTAAATATAATCGCTAAAGTTCAACTTATACTTTACCTTTTTTTAATAAGTAGGTACCGTAAAAAAAAACGATTTTTTTAATATTTTTATAAATTTGTGTTCTTCCTTATTAATTAAAAAAAGCTTTTAACTATTTCACATTTTGTTTTGAAATTTTATTTCAAAATATTCATTTTTTAACAAGCCTCTTGTATGAGACATTTAAAACATTTTTTTGTCATATAAATAATTACATTACAACATTTATACCAATGAATTATTTAGGGGAAAAGTTTTAAAAAACCCTTGTCATATTAAGAGCTTGACTTTTTTGGTAAAAATTGAATTTTTTTTGGTAAAAATATACATTACCTTTATTACAAAACAAGATAAAACTAAAAATTAAATTGATAAACGTAAACGTTACATATACTGTTGGTTAGGTCTTTTTTGCAAAAAGGAGTCCATCAAAAATATCCAACTACAAAATAATGAATGATTTATAAAGTTAAATTACAAAATTATAATTTTAAGTGTCAAATAAAGTTACGTCAATGCAGCACCAAATATGTTTTTCTTGTGGCCCGTAGAATATTCTTACTGAATTAAAATAAAAGGAATAATTATTATAATCATAATATAGCGTCGGTAATTTTCAGAAAAATTGACTTTTGCATTTTTCGTATTACCCTTTGAATAAAATTTAAAAATGAATAAATCAATTTTTCTGAAAATTTTCCAATCTCTCCGTTTTTTTTCCACCGACTCAATTTTTCCGGAAATTTTAAAACCCTATATGGAATCACCTAGTAATTACGAGAAACATTATTCCACTTAAAAAAAGTGTTTCTAGTAATTACTGGTTGACCATCTTTCAAATGGTCTTATACCAAATTTAAGGTTGATTCATCGGAATTCTCGATTTTTCTTTCAGAATTTATAAAATCAGAAGAGGGTCAAGGCTTTACGGGTCAAATATGTTTTGTCGCCGACTCCATCGGCTCCATTTTAGGCTACGATGCTCTATGTCGTACCCTGAAATATGCATCTCGTCACGGAAGCGAAAACAGCATTCTGGATAACGATGCTGGCTTCAAAGGTAACTCAATGTTGGGTGTTTATTCTTAGAAACTAACAACCTTAAGGTTCGGTTTTACGCATCATGGGTGGATGATGCATAAAACTGAATGAATTGATGAAATTAGAGACGCTTCGTCTCTTAATGCCATAGACATATTCAGTCATCTGAAGCTGAAAAACTCTCTGGTATTAAAAGACTAAACGTCTGATACCAACTATCCTCAAACCTGAAAACTCTTTTTCTCGTTAGACGAAGTTCAAGTGAACGAAACTGGTCACTTGGTGGCTCCTTCTCCTCGTAGGAGATCGTCCTCGACCAGCGATCAGTCGGGACAGATCAAGTTGGAGTTTGACGTCTCCGATTTCTTCATGTTCGGCAGTCCCTTGGCCTTGGTGCTGGCTTACAGGAAAATTTCGTCGTCAGATGAGAAACAAAGTGAGTAAAGTAGTTTGGTTAGTTTAGAGAGTGTTCTGTCAGTTTTTTCATGGAAGAGGTCTTAAAGTTAAATAAAATAAAATAATTTTTGTCTCCCAAATTTTTTTAAATTAAATACATTATTAGAATTAAATACATTTTCTTTGTTTTTTATGAAAAAAAAATTGTTTGGGCTCGTGTTTTTTTATTTAGTTTGTAGCTTATGCCAGTTTGTTTTAGTATTTTTAGTATTTAAAAAATGGTAGGTACTATGTGACCTAATTTTGTTAATTTTTTTTTACTTGTTAATATACTAAAAATACGGACCAATATTAATTTTTTTATTAAGTACCCAAAATAATAACCTAATTTAGGAACCATTTTTCACTTTTTTATAACCTAAAAAAACGGGCCTTAGTTATAAGTTATAACTTATAACATTGTTTGTAATTTTCAGATAGTATAACCCGTCCAAGTTGTCTTCAAGTTTATAATTTATTCCATCCAACCGACCCGGTAGCCGCAAGACTAGAACCACTTCTATCAGCCAGATTCTCCATACTTCCTCCTGTAAACGTGGCGAGATACGCCAAATACCCTCTCGGTAACGGGCAACCCTACCACCTACGTAAGTATTGAACCTCTTGAGATGACTGTTTGGCACTTTTTATTGATTTTTTGATTTGGCACAGCTCACTAATACTTTCCGATCATTGCAGTTGAAATACTTCAAACTAACCCGCAAATGTTTAGCGATAACGCGCAACCTAGGCGCTTATCGGAGGTATCCATACAAAGCACGGTTTCCGGTATCATTGATAACATTCCTCTACAAGCCATTAACGCTTGTAAGTACTTGGCATGGCTTTAACCACGGAGATTACGTGTTAATTATTGAGGAAAAGAGTCCTTACACATATTAGTTTTTGATTTTCTGTGACTTCACTTCCGTTGCCGTTGCTAAAATTTGTATCGTGCGTTTATTTAAAACAATTTCGACTTAAAGTCCGCGCGTTATAACTTGGCGAAGCTCGACGCATGTGGGCGTAGCGGTGTCGAAGATTAAGATTAAATTTTGAAGAGTGAAATAAACAAAATAATTTTTAATTATTAAATATATATATATTATATGTATATATTTAGGTTTAAAATTGCTTTGAACTTTCTGCCTTCTTTAACTTCTTTTAATTGTTGCACCGATACAACAGTAGCACATCTTACTTTCACTCACTCACATTCTCTTCCTCAGTTTTATTACTTTTAAAATAATTAAAAACATGAGAAATAATTTCTCGACCTTGACTTCCAAGAACTTTATTATGTGGTTTTTTCGTTTCCGCCATTACTTCTTCACTTGACAATATTGCTTCTTGGATTATTTTTGGTAAGGTTTAATTTTGGGTATATGGGTGGTTTTCAGTAACTTGTCCCTGGGCTATTAAAACTAAAACCTATATATTAGCCATCATTTTTTTTTACATTTTACTAGACAGGCATATTTTTTATCGATTTATAATACCAAAAGTTCAATATCCTATGAATTTATTTTTTAATTTTGGTTTTAAAACTCCTGTTTCACATGACCGTCGTATGTCCCTCGAGCAAAATCCAATATTTGCGATCTTCTAAAAATTTAATTCAACTTTTAAGTAGCCAAAGAAAATGAACAAATGTTAGGTTTTCTGTGTTATAAAATTGTCTTAAATAGCCATTATCGTTAAGTAATGTTTAGCCTAAAAATAATAACTGAACGTTATCTTGACCGTAGAAAGACTTTTAGGTTGTCTATTTGCCGCGAGATGGTACAGCATGTGTGAATTAAAATATTTTATTATTGCAAATTGCGACGATATATTTACAGTTCCTGCCGTGTATGTTAATATTGAAAAGGTAAGTTAAAGTTCTTCGTATTTTGTTATTAACATGACCGTCTATAGTGATAAAATAGCAACATAAATAGTTATAAATTGCTCGCTATGTTTTTTTGTTGTCGGTTGTTTACCGGTGAAAACTCTAACCTAAAATTCACAACATGGGGATACTTTTAATTTTGAGCATATAAAAATGTGTGAAATCACATAAAAAAAAAGTATGCGACGGTCATGTTAAAAATTTGTTTATTTTTTATTTAAAACCCTTCTAAGTTTTATTTTTATGCACATAAAGCACTTTCTTCATCATTCTGGCATATTTGACCAAGTTACTTAAAAGAAAAAAGTCAGTTGAACTAAATCCAAACTTTTTTCAAAATTAAATCAGAATATTAAAAAATACTGAAAATAGAGGTGCGAGTTAAAAAAACCGTCCGTTTTTTTTGTATTTTCAGGTTTTTTTTCATTGTTTTTTTTTCAAATGTTTTTTTTTCACATTTTAGTTTTTTTCAAGATTAGTCCCATTTGCCTAATTTTTTAGGTTTCATGGACTAAAATTAGCCACTAAATGACAATTAGTAAATGTAAATACAGTCTCGCGCTATGCACGCGCCACCACCACCGAATTGACCAATAAGGGCCGCGCTTGTTTTGATTTGGTCCTAAAAAAGTAACTTCATATAATATTTTTGATTCAGCGCTTTATTTTTCAAAAAGCTACCAAAAGCACTTTTTTCATAATTTTTCAAATTCATGTAGAGTATGGAATTAAAAAAAAACAATAGCACATTCTTGTAGAACATTTATTCATTGGTGGTTAAGTCAGAACATTCCGTGGACCAGAAAGCCAAAAAAAATCGATTTTTTTTATTACGGTATTTGTTAGGATTGAGCGTTGCACCTTTTTCATCTAAAAATCTCAAAACTAGAAACTTCAATATATTATTAAATATACGTATTTAGGTAAATTTATATAATTAAAAGGTACCTTTTAAGTTTATACCGTCGCTTTTCTGACAAAGAGGCATAAGGGACATTTTTTCCATATTGAAGTTAAGTTCACTAAGTGATTTTTTTACGGTTGAATCTATGATCTGACAAAAGGAAATACATACATACATACATACATACATTATGTATGTATGTATGTATGTATGTATTTCCTTTTGTCAGATCACAGATTCAACCGTAAAAAATCACTTAGTGAACTCCAATATGGAAAAAATGTTCATTACGCCTCTTTGTCAGAACAGCGACGATACTACTTTGTTGTCTTCACTTTTTTAATTTAATATACCTATCTTTTAAAATAGTTTATCAATAATTTTGCGGTCCGACGAAATTTGGGTATACGTTCTATAGAATAAACTGAACAATAGCCAAAAAATTTAAATATTGAATACGCGCCACTGCTTTGCCAAACACGAGTTAAACTGAACTGGAAGGGCGGTGCAATCACGAAATTACGTCAACTGGGCAAGTTATAACGCGCGGACTGTATTCGAGGACTCTTTTCCTCGATGGTTCTCGCAGAATTCGTTAAATCTCCACCTTCCGTCGAACCTAACCTCATTAAACGCAGTGCAACAAAAATGGTGGGGCGGCAAGCGCATGGACTACGCGCTCTACTGCCCGGAAGGTCTGTCGAACTTCCCGACCAACGCGCTGCCGCACCTCTTCCACGCCAGCTACTGGGAGAGCTGCGACGTCATAGCCTTCATTCTGCGGCAGGTGGGCGGCATCGAGGCCATGCCGCTCGGCGGAAACGAGGACCGCGAGCCGAGCTTCCGGCCCGGCCAACCGCGGGAGAAGTGGAACAAAAAGCGGACCTCGGTCAAGTTGAAGGTGAGAATTGTTTTTTCCTCTAAAAGTCTAAAACGGCTTTAGTTCTTCTTAATTCTGCTTCCTTGTGGAAATTTTTCTCTGAGAAAGTCTCACTTTCTCTGAAAAAGTCTGAATAATACTTATTAAGTCGGAAAAAGTCAGAATAAGACTTATTAAGTCGGAAAAAGTCTTATTAAGTCAGACTAATAGCAAGATTTGGGAGTCTTCTGGAAGAGTTAATAAGACTTTTTAAGACTTAATAAGACTTAGTAGAGAAATGGTAGATACCTATGGCGATAAAAATAAATATCCGAAATACTTATACTTAATATTCTTTATTATGATTGAGGGTCTTATTTAAAGGAATCTGAGATTAACCCATCCCTTCAATCATTTATATACAGACTGTAAATTGTAATTTCATATCAAATCAACCAATGGTTTGGCAGGTCACCTCTCCGATTTTGATAATTTTTGGTACAGTTATTCTACCCATAAATAGGATCAAAAATCCAAAATTTCAGATTTTTTGGACCAGTAGTTTTTTTTAAATTAATTTTTGAAAATCAAAAAAACGGTCAAATTCTCCTCAACATGTACTAAGAAAAAATTGAATATCTCCAGAACTACTAATACTAGAATAGCGATATATAGCTTATTTTAAAGGTCTTGAAAATACCTTTCGAACGAGGTATCTCATGACATACTTTTTATTGAAAAAAATATATAAAATTTTGAAAAAAAAAATATTTTTTGAAAATTTTTAAAAAAGTATTTTTTTATTTTTTTCAAAAAAATATTTTTTTTCTCTCAATATTTTAGCAACATATTGGCAAAATTTCAAGATGGAGAAATGATTGGAACAAGGTGAAAAAAAATAATAACAATAAAAATGCATGCAATATAGTGGTATTTATTTTGATAAAATATTGATAAAAGGAATAAAAAAACTCAAAAACTAAATTATAAAGGAAAAAAATTAGATAATTTCAGCTTTAGTTTCTTTTTTCTAAAATTTTTGAAGAATCCAACATTTCATCTTTGGTAAGCGTGTAGGTTCGACCGGTAGAAGTAAGAGGCTGAACCCTCTTTAATACTGCATTTCTTTCTACTACTAAAATGTCTGCTCTGGGTGTCGGATAATAAAATGAACTAGCCGGTCCATTTGGATGTAGAAAACTGATTTTAAGTTCATCAGATTCTTCATTATGTCCAATGATACAGGCTAACCACCATAACTTATCATATTCCACAGTCACAAAACCAGATTGAAGAGACATTAGTTCAGAATTTGTGATTTCAGAACACCTCAAAAGTTCCTGGGTTTTTTGTTCCAAGCTGAGTGAAAAGCTTTTGGTCATTATCTTTGATTTTGAAACTGGAATAACTGAATGTACTTTTTGAGTTCCAGGAATAGTTAGTGTTTCAGCAAGACTTTTACATCCATTGCTAATAGCAACGGATGTAAAAACCTTAAAAAAACATTTAGGCACAAAACCGTTGTTTTGACACTTAATAAATATTATGTAAAAGTCAATTTTTAATGACAGTTTTCGAAAAACAAGTTTTTTATAACAAATTAAAACACTTATGCTGGAATTTTGCATGTTTATAAGTTTTCAATATTTTTTTTCACTATGAACCCATTATTTCTCCACCCTGAAATTTTGCCAACATGTTGCTAAGATATTGACAAAAAAAATATATTTTTTTGAAAAAAATTAAATTATACTTTTTTTGAAAAATTTCAAAAAATTTTTTTTTTCAAAAGTTACTTTTTTTTTTAATAAAAAGTATGTCATGATATACCTCATTCGAAAGGTATTTTCAAGACCTTTAAAATAAGCTATATATCGCTATTCTAGTGTTAGTAGTTCTCGAGATATTCTATTTTTTCTGGGAGCATGTTGAGGAGAATTTTACAGTTTTTTTGATTTTCAAAAATTAATTTAAAAAAAACTACTGGTCCGAAAAATCTGAAATTTTGGATTTTTGATCCTATTTATGGATAGAATAACTGTACCAAAAATTATCAAAATCGGAGAGGTGACCTGCCAAACCTATTTTTATTTTGGTTGATTTGATATGAAATGACTGTAAATGACTGTAAAGTAAATGAACATTTTTGATTTTTATTCTTGTTTTCAAGAATGTTGCAGCAAATCATAGGGCCAACGACGTCATAGTCAAAGAGGGTGCCCCTCAAGTATTAATAGCAAGATTCATGTACGGCCCTTTGGATATGATAACCTTGACCGGCGAAAAGGTGGACATACACGTGATGAAGGACGTTCCCAGCGGAGAATGGACGCAGATAGGGACGGAAGTTACCGATAAAACCGGAAGAATATCCTTAACCATTCCGGAAGATAAGTCTCTCGGATACGGAATGTTTCCCATAAAGGTGATTCGAGTTCCAGTGATTGCAGTTTAATCGAGTTGATTCGAATTTTAGATGGTGGTGCGGGGAGATCACACGTCTGTGGACTTTTTCCTGGCGGTGGTTCCCCCGAAAACGGAATGCGTCGTTTTCAGTATTGACGGTTCCTTTACGGCGAGTATGTCGGTTACCGGGAGAGATCCAAAAGTCAGAGCGGGAGCCGTTGACGTAGTCAGGTAAATTTTTTTTTTCAAACGTCAATTTTTTTGCAGTAAAAGTACTTTTAATGCCGCTGAAAGATAATACCAAAAGTGCTTTTAAGTTAAGTAAATAAAAGCACCATTTTTGGCAAAATTTTATTTATTGTTTATGTGGACAATAAATGAATAATTAAGCAATGTACATCTTTATGCACACGACCTTCTGTATGGATTTACATAACATGGTTGAAATTTTGCATTTTTTTTTAAATCTTCCTTCATTAAAATCTTTTTGGCGCAAAGAGGCATATTTTCTAATTGGTTCTTTTTGATTTTTGTGTCAGAAACCTTAATATAAAATAGAGATCCCAAGTCTTCTATATATTTACCATGGCACGCCGTTTTAACATTTATTAAATAATAACTAAAAATTTTAGGTTTACATTTATAAATTTAAAATATTTTCAACTGTCATGTATTGAAAGGCAAAATTTACTAACTAACAGTATTAAACAATATTATTTCCAATACATTTTAGCAAAATATCCAACCATCATTTTTTAATAAAAATAATTTGTTAAGTATAATTTTTTGGGCAGAATTTTGTAAATTTTAAATAAATAATTTATATATATATTTAGATTAAATTGGTAAAGTTAATTTTTTTAGTATTTAAAAATAGTGTCAAGAGGTTTAAAATAAAAACACATATAAAACATTTTCTACAAAAATAGTTTAAAAAGTTAAAAATTTTTAAACTCAAAACATTTTGTAATCAAAAATTATTTTAAATATAAAATTCAAATGTAAAAGTTTAATATTTTAATATTATTTTTTTTTTAATTGTAGTTTTTGTTTTTTATCGATAAATTTTGAATACAAAAATTCTCACATTACCTTTAAATGTTAGTTTTAAATTTTAAAGTAGTAATTTTGGAATTAAACATTTGTTTCATATATTAACTAAAACTAAACTTGTCTGAAATAGTTATTAATAGTTAAATTTTGATGAAATTAAGTTTGTAAGTACCTATTCTGAAGTATGCCGCGTTCAGTGGCGTACTTATTTTTTCTCCTAATTTAGGAGTACTAAACCTCCTAAATGTGTTTTATTTTTTGTTATAAATATTAAAAAAAAAACTTGTCTAAAATAGTTATTAATTGTTCGTTTTTAAAGAAATTTTCTTCTGTACCCATTTTGAAGCATGCCGCATTTAGTGGCTTACTTATTTTTTTCGAAAAACGACCCTAATAATTTTTTTCGAATTTTGACATAGAAAATTTTTATAGTAGGCTTCTGTGACATTAAAAATTTTTTTTATACTTAGCTTAGATAGAGTTTTGTATTTTATTTTTTTTGAGCCTTTGTTTATTAAAATCGAGTAAGAAATAAAAAAGTTACGGGGGTGTTTCCATCTTAAATGGGCCACACTGTATATAGAGTTTATATGATGAAAATTTTATCTTCATTCCCAAGTATTATTTATCAGGAGCATTGCTAAAATTAATTTTTGGTAGCCTTCATATTGCTTCTTCAAATATGCCTGTAGTTTCACGAATTTGCTAATATCCACTCCATGCTTGATATTAGGTTTATCAATAAATATTGTAACCACATTTAAATTTTCTGGCGGTTCTGATCTAAGAAATACGCCAGCAAAACATTTTCTGAATAATTAATAATTCTGCAAGAAGTAAGTTTTAGTAAAAAAATCAATGAACACTAGGAAATACTTACAAATCAACAACAACAAAAAATTCACCAGCAAACAAAATGTCACCGACTTAATTTGTTTGTTGTCCAGATCATTTATAAATTGTTTTTTTACGGAATATTGAGTATTTTATGTATTCGACGTAAACAAAAAAAATTGTACCCATATTTTATGCGGAGTTAAGTCTGTACATACCACAAAAAGTGATACTACCTCCTTATAAAATAACGTACTATTTTTTAGACATTGGCAAGAACTGGGCTACCTTATAATCTACACTACCGGACGTCCGGACATGCAGCACAGGCGGGTAGTTTCCTGGCTTTCCCAGCACAATTTCCCGCACGGTTTAATTTCCTTTGCCGATGGACTTTCCACCGATCCTCTGGGGCACAAAGCTGCCTACCTAAACAACCTCATACAGGTAAAAAAAAACATCAAAAGTCAATGCAATCGAAAAAAAAACATTTTTTTTTCTTAGAAACACGGGGTGGTAATTTTCTCCGCGTACGGCAGCGCCAAAGACATCGGCGTGTACACCTCTATAGGCTTGAAGCCCAAACAGATTTTCATTGTGGGAAAAGCGTCCAAAAAACAGCACGCCCAGGCCACGATACTGACCGAGGGCTACGCCGCCCATCTGACCACTCTGATGGCTTACGGGGGCTCCAGACCTGCGCAGGGCAACGCCAGAATGGTCATACCCAGGGGGTACTTCGGACTCCCTGGCCAAGGTTTTTCCAGGAGAAGAAGGTAAGGGTTTAGTCGAGTTTTTTTATTAACGATTTTTTACTTTTTAATAATTTTTAATATACTAGGTGTAGGGTTTAATTGGTAGATGAGGTATACTGCTTTTTAAAAAGGATACCATAATACATATAAATGTTATACAGGGTGTTTCATACCAGGAGGCGAAAAATGAAATTCTATATTCAAAACGTCATTCTAAATAAAAATCTTTAATACTTTTTTGTTCTATCATTTTTCGTTTTCAAGTTATTCGAGTTCAAAGTTTTGAATTCAAACAATGAAAGGATAACAATATGCAATAATAGGATTCATAATTCTAGCAACTAAAATATACATCCATGGAAACGTATAAGTATTTAAGTTTTATAATACAGTTTATTTTTTTTTATCTGGACTGCGGCAACGTTGCAAACTTAGGGGTTTAGTTGTTTAGTTGGCAAATATTTTTATTATTTTGGCAGCTATAAAACTAAATTAATATTTGTGGTTAAGAAATCAAAAAATATTTACCTTTTAATAGGTTTTTGACCAAAATAGTATTTCGTTATTGTCCTGTAGGATAATTATTTGTACAGAGACGTTTTTTAAATCACATATATACATTGGAGTTTGATATTCCTCTGTTTAAATTTAATGATTTGACAAAAACTGTCAAATTATGTAAAACAGAGATACCAATCCTAAAAATACTAATCAAACTGACATAAACAACCAACTTAATAAAAAAACACTAGTCCATATAAAAAAAAATAACCTTATGTGGTCTTCTGCCTTATTTAAGTAATACAACCTGTCAGTTTATAGCTTATATGTCAGCAAGAATTATTGATTGACAATTGACCAATTTGTAGTTTATACTATTTATTTTTATCTGTAATATTACAGGACATTTTCAAAAACATGGCCTTCAGCATTAATACAAGCTTGGCACCGCAAAACAACAGAATTGTAAACTCGTCCAAAATCTTGTACATTTTGTATTTGCTCCGCCGCATCTATTATTCTTTGCATAAGCTGCTCTTCGGTGGTAATTTCGACTGCATAGGCAAGCTGTTTCATGTGTCCCCATAAATAAAAATCAAGCGGATTTAAATCCGGTGACCTAGCAGGCCACAATATTGGGCCACGTCTACCAATCCACCTTCCATTGAAGTTGTTATAATGTAGTGAATTGGTTGAATATATTCAACCAATTCACTACATTTCTACCATCGTGTTGAAACCACATTCGATTTAGCAAACCCACAGGGACATCTTCCAGCATTTTATTAAGTTCATTTTGTAAGAACATTAAATAAGATTCGGCATTTAGTCCATTGGGAAGGACTATAATTGGCAGACTTCGCCCGTTGAAAATGCCACCCCAGACATTAATTGAAAATCTCTGTTGGAAATGTCTCACTCTCATAGCATGTGGATTTTCCAACGACCATACATGTTCATTATGGGTATTATTAATACCATCTCTGGTAAAAGTAGCTTCATCTGAGAATACAATAGAAGAAATAAAATTTGGATTTTGCTCATGTTGACGAAGCAGCCATTGACAATACAGAAGTCGTGGCTCGTGATCATTTGGCTGCAAATGCTGAACATTTTGCTTATGGTACGGGTGCAATACTTCTCGGTGTATGGTTCTCCAAACAAAGCTATGAGAAACTTCCAGCCTACTAGCAATACGTCTGGTACTAATGCCGGGTTCGTTAAGTACAGCGTCAATTACTTGCTCTTCTTGACCAGCATTGTGTCTGAAGTTCGCACCTCCTGTATGCTTGCTTCCAATACCATTTCTTCGGAGTCTTTGATATGCGTCTGAAAATACACGGCGGGATGATTGTCGTTTATTTGGAAATCTACGCAGATATTTTCTGGGGAAGCTGCAGAAGCATTTCCATTTGCGTACCCGTAAATAAAAACAATGTCTGCATATTCTTCATTCGTAAATTCCATTTTGTTTATAAATTTACAATAAACTGACAGGCAGAAGACCACATATACGTTTCCATGGATGTATATTTTGGTTGCTAGAATTATGAATCCTATTATTGCATATTGTTATGCTTTCATTGTTTGAATTCAAAACTTTGAACTCGAATTACTCGAAAACGAAAAATGATAGAACAAAAAAGTATTAAAGATATTTATTTAGAATGACGTTTTGAATATAGAATTTCATTTTTCGCCTCCTGGTATGAAACACCCTGTATAAAGATACAAATTTGTCTGTGGTAAGATAAAAATTGTTCATTTTAATTGTACTTTCCACCCAAAATTAATTTTCACCAAATACAGTTTTAATAAGTAAAGTTTTACTTTCTTGTGAAAACTCAGAATGATAACTGGTAGGTACCTATAGCGATTAAAAGAAACATCCGGAATTATTCAGTTATGTAGTATTTGATTATTGTAAAAGAAAACACAAAGAAAATTATTTATAAGCATTGTTTTTGTGTTGTTATAAGGCTTGAGTCCATAATATTAATATTAAGAGGTCTATCATCGCAATTTTAATTTTTTTTTCCTCAGCAAGTTTTTGTCTCAGAACTCCCAAACCATTGAGTTAAACAAAATTGACTTGAAAATATTTTTTTAAGAAAATTAAATGCTCTACAAAAAAGGTTAAAGTGAAATTTTCCGTCAGATGAACCGTTTCCTTAAAATTATGGCTTAAAATTTTTTATAGTTTTACATTTTGATCTTTTAAATTGGAATATATATATATATGGGTCATTTCACGTCAAATTTACCGACAAAATTTAAATTTGCCTGAAATATTTTTTTTTTCGTTTACGACACCAAAAAAAGTGACACGTATTTTTTTGTTTCAAAATTTTATAAATTATGTTAAAGTTACGATTTTTTTTAATTTCAGTACAAGAAAAAAAGAATTTTAAACAGTAGTTTTTGAATAGAATAAGATTTAATAAACTTTAATTTTTTTTGGCTTAATTTTAAGGTTATACATTGTTTTAAATATTTAAATTAAAAAAAAATAATTTTTTTTTTAATTCAATTTTTTTAAGCAAATTTTAAAAGTTAATAAAAAAAAATGAAAATCGACATTTTTTTTTTAAATTTTTAAAATGTGTATTAACTTGTCAAAGTTTGCAGAACATTGTATAAAAATTTCAGAATGGACCGTTTAATATCGTATGAAATATTAATAATTTTAGATATCCGCGCTCTTAAAATGAAGGCTGTTACAGAGGCATATTTAAGATAAAGCACGATGGGCTATTAAAATTACAATTAGGGATGAGTTAGATTATATTGGATTATATTATATGTATTTTAGAATTAAAATTGAATCAAGGTTGTAATTTTTAATATTTTTTTTACCATTAAAAACTGATTATAAATTTATAATAATTATAATTTAAACAAATGTACAACAGTGTGTTAATTCATGGTTAGTTGCACATCGATATTTCATGTGTTAAAAAAATGGGTGCAAACAATTTTAATTTGACAAAATTTTACATTTTTTTATTCAGGAGATGCAATTTACTCCAAAATAAAAAAAAATCAAATAAAAATTAAACTCACATTATTATTATTATTATTATTTTCCAACACAAATTACTTGCTATTATAATATTTTATTTTATAAAACTAACAGTTTGGAATATTAAACTCGAAGAATACGTTTTTATTTTTAAAAATTTATTGTCCGCCGGTTCAATGGAATGTATTTTTTGTGTTCCCGTAATGGTTTGACACAATCTAAAACGTTTTTTTTTTTAAGTTCTGCGGCTTCATAGTCCTTTTCACTATAGTATAAATGACGGATATATTGCTCAAGGAAGAATCCTTTAAAGCCCAATGATAAAACTTAAGGGCTGTTGTTATATTATTGCCCTGAAGGCTATAGCCTTTCGTGCTTGCCTTTTCAAGGTTCCTCGAGCTCCGTCACAAGGACCTTTTCCGTGGGCTGTGGCTTGATAATGCCAAGTTGCAGAGCGACCAAAGTCTCGCTTATGATTATAAATTGTTGAAAAATGTTTAACGTTTTTAAATTGTTGTGGTGCTCCATCAGAAAAGTAAATACAATTACGTATTTGTGGGTAAAAGCTAGAAATAAAATTATTAAAAGCACGCAAAAAAACGTACACTGCTATGGAATCATGTTTTTTGCAATCAGAAATTATGACCAAGTTTTTATGGCTAATGTATCCATTATTAGTAAAATAAAAAACAATTGGAAAAAGTGTGGCCTGGTTGTTATTCCAGTGATAACCTGGAACGGCGCGCCGTTCCAGGTATTTTATGAAATTTGCTTTATAGGCTTGTGTTTTACTCCTGCCCCCAAAGAAAATAAATAAAGTTTTAATTATTAGCTTATCACTTTAACCATTTTAACGAATGTAAATTTTTATTAATATTGCATTAAAAAATATAAAATGGTAAAATTTCAAATTTCTGTTCGTAATTTTGAATGTTAATCGTCAATATTTTGCGATATCCTAAATATGTCTCTGTAACAGCTTTTATTTTAAGAACGCGGATATATAAAATTATTAATATTTTATACGATATTAAACGGTCCATTCTAAAATTTTTATACAATGTTCTGCAAACTTTGACAAGTTAATACAAATTTTAAAAATTTAAAAAAAAGATGTCGATTTTAATTTTTTTTTATTAATTTTTAAAATTTGCTTAAAAAAATTGAATTAAAAAAAATATTTTTTTTTTAATTTAAATATTTAAAACAATGCATAACCTTAAAATTAAGTCAAAAAAAAATTAAAGTTTATTAAATCTTATTCTATTCAAAAACTAATGTTTAAAATTCTTTTTTTCTGGTACTGAAATTTAAAAAAATCGTAACTTTAACAAAATTCATAAAATTTTGAAACAAAAAAATACGTGTCACTTTTTTTGGTGTCGTAAACGAAAAAAAAAATATTTCAGACAAATTTAAATTTTGACGGTAAATTTGACGTGAAATGACCCATATATAGTTTTACATTTTGATCTTTTAAATTGGAATTTTGTAATTC